GTTAACATTAAGAACAGTTAAAGACTGATGGGAAAGACCATCATGGGTTTGGTTTCAGAGCCCACACATCGGGTGCACTTCAAGACCCCAGACCTGCTGCTGGCCCCCAAGGGGCAGCCTCCGCTGGTCCCCGGACCCCCTAACCCTTTGCTCCCCCTGCCGCGTTCGATGCTGTATTAACACAGGTAGAGGGCTAATTAATGGCAAACGAAATGACTCTCCCATGACACAGACTTTTAAAGACAAAGATGAAAGTCAAATTATGATGAACTCTTGTTTACTTCAAGCTAGTGAAGACAAATTATGAGTCACCATCTTGATCTGGTTCACATAAACTATTTTGCGGTTGAGTCCGCTTTGTAGGTCCAAGTCAGTCCCAAGGCAAAGGGTAAATTGCTTTAATGACGGGCTGCGTTTTAGAGGACTTAGAGGAGAGTCCCCCTTTTAATCTGTGGCCAAATAAATACTTGAAAGGGATGAAAGGGAAACACAGAGATATATCAAAATAAGAAAACAAAATAACTAAGTCAACCTTTCCTACTCGTAAGTGAACCCATGATGCATTCTCTTAAAAACCAAACAAATGGACAAACAAAACCTATGTCCTGGATTTGGGCCTCTGCAAGGCGGGAGACAGTGGCCACCGCTTGGGCAAAAAGTTCCAGGACGAAGGTCTCACGCAGATTTCTGCCCAAGGGTCCAGGGCGCCTTTCAGCAAAAGAAGGCGGCAGAAGCAATATGCATATTATCTGATGCAGAATCTGAGGCAGGTAGAAACAGGGAGACATTTTTTAATGATATAAGGGACTTTTATAAAGAAAACCCAAGGCTGTAACATCAAACGACTCAAAAGCAAAAATCTAGAGAAGTGCAAGACAATGGCAAGGCTGTTGCCCAGACGGTGCGGCGGGCGCCCTGGTGGTGCCTTGTTGCATGGAATCCAGGGGACGTCACATCTGCTCATTTCCTGTGATGCTGACATTGATCACGGCCGCAGGGCTCAGCGTAGCCACCCGTGCCCCGTACATGTCACTCTGCCTCACCTCTACTGCTGTAGCCTCTGCTGACGCTCAGTGCCCATGTTTATTATTTTATTTTGGGTTACAAAATGGCAATACTGTAATATTATTCTTTCTTCACTTTTATTTTTTTTAGCTGCAATTCTATAAAGGAGAACTTTCCTGATCAATGATGTGGTGAATCTGGCGTGCGCTTCATCAGGGAGGAGGGAATGAGTGACTGTGGCCTGTTCATCGCAGGTGTTCAGGATACTGGCTTGGTTTCGTTGCAGTCTCCACAGGACAGAAGCATTCACGGGTTTTAATGTATTTCATGTGTATCAGCCCATTGCAACTTTGACTTTTTTGATGCTCCGAGAAATGTGATTCTGCCAATGGGAGCCCACAGGTGCCCCTGTGAGCCGGGCAGTGTTCCACAGCGACCCCTCCCTCCCCAGTGCCACCGTGGGGGGTTTGTGGTGAGCAGTCCCCTCTCCCGGCCTGTAAGCCGTGTGTCTCCGGAAGCCCTGGTTCCTCTCCGTGAGAATTTGCATGTAGAAACCATAGTTGTGGGGCCGGTTTGTGGGTGGGTCCCCAGCTGGTCACCACTAGCAGGAGGGTTCAGTGGGTAGGTGACAAGGGTTTTGTTTGGTTGGCTTTGTGTTTTCTCTTTACAGAAAATATACCTTGAGGGGCACCTGGGTGGCTCAGTTGCTTCGGTGTCTGACTCTTGATTTTGGCTCAGGTCATGATCTTACCATTTGTGGGATCGAACCCCATGTTGGGGTCTGTGCTGACTGACAGCATGAAGCCTGCTTGGGATTCTCTCTCTCTCCCTCCCTCTCTCTCTGCCCCTCCCCCACGGGGGCAAGGAAGCACAATCTGTCTCTCTCGAAATAAATAAATAAACTAAAAACAGAAAAAGAAAAAGATAATATACGTTGAGTTGGTGGTGAGATTCACAATTTGGATCCAGCGTGCAGAACTTCCACTTAACTTTGAGCACATTTCTTAATCTCTTCAATTCTTATTTTCTGTCTTTCTTTTGTTCTTAAAACATCCCTGGTACCTTCATATCGTTCCCTCCTTGTTTCATGTATTTTCTTAGTTTTTGAGCAACAGTGCTATGCACTTACTAACAAAATGGACGCTGGAAACAGCGAGGTGCCTTCCCAGTCCCTTCTGCCTTAGGATGCGTCCTACTGAGAGGCACAGTCCAATCAACTGGGTTTAAAGTGAATTCAGAGGCATCCAGGTGGTTCAGTAGGTCGAGCATCTGACTCTTGACTTCACTTGGGGTCATGATCTCACAGTTCGTGGGACCAAGCCCAGCGTCTGGCTCTGTGTTTAGTGTAGAGCCTGCTTGGGATTCTCTCTCTTCTCTCTCTGCTCCTCTCCTTCTCTCTCTCTCTCTTTATTTTTTTTTAATTTTTTGAATTTTTTAAATTTATTTCTAGGAGAGAGAAAGAGACAGCGTGAGCAGGGGAGGGTCAGAGAGAGAGGGAGTCACAGACTGAAACAGGCTCCAGGCTCTGAGCTGGCAGTCAGCACAGAGCCCGACGTGGGGCTCAAACCCATGAACCGCGAGATCATGACCTAAGCGAAAGTCAGACGGTTAACTGACTAAGCCACCCAGGCACCCCCCCCTTTAAATAAATAAATAAATAAATAAATAAACTAAAAAAAATAAAGTGACTTCAGATAACCCTTCTGTGTGGGAACATAACTATTCAATGCCAACTTAAAGTTTCTTCCACTTTGCTTTCAATTACTAGAAGCTGCCTTTCTAAGAATTAAACTGTTGCATAATTATGTCACATTGACACGGTTCCAAAGTTAAATCTACAAAACAACCTGTCTCAGAGAAGCCTGGCTTCCGTCCTTGTCCCCTTCCTTAGCTCCCCCCACGCTGAGAACCATCTGTTCCGTTTCCAAGGCTGGGAACAAACGACAGAAAGCTCAGTGGGCTGCACGGTCACTCATTAGCCTCACCGGCTCTGCGGGCCACCAGTTCAGACAGGCCGTGACAGGCCGGCCCGCTGTGCCTTGCGATGGCGGCGGTGGGCCTCAGCCAGAGCCAGGTCCTCCTCAGGGGCCGCCGCTGGCTCCCGGCTCCCTGCAGACAGGCCTCCCCGAGCGTCTCTCTGTCCGTGCGAGCTCGTGCTTCCGCACAGCTGCTGGTGGCTTCCTCTCCGTGAGCATCCACGGGACGGAGACACAAAGCTGTGGCAGCCATGCGGCCTCGGAATCCATGCCTTCTCTCTGGCAGGGGTCAGCAATCCCGTCCAGGTTCACGGGGAGGAGGGTCTCCGTATCGATAGAGCAGGGCAAGATTCTAGAAGAGTCCCTGGGCTGGAAAGAATGCCAAGGCCACTCTGGGATACAAAGTCCCACTACATTTTAATTAGATTTTTTTTGTCCTTATAATTGAAACGCTTAAGGAGAGGAGAAAAAAGGGAGGAGCTATATAGCAGCATTCCACGTCACAGGGGATCTGGGAGGGGATTTGGGAAGCCGGAGGCGGGTGGTGTCAAGGAGGCAGAGGGACAGGACGTCTAAGAACAAGGAAGGGGGCTGGGAATGGGGTGCAGGATGGGGCTGTGAGGCCAGACCAGTAGAAGCCCTCTTTTCTCCATCTACTCTGGGAGAAAGAAGATGCTTCTTCCTGTTTGAATGAGCTGAGATTTTTTTTAATTGACTTGTAAACGCTCCTTTATAAGGGACAGCTGTTATTATGGGACTTGTATCCAAAGACAGCACAAGCTTTTCCATGCAGCCTCCTGTATAATGCATATGGGCCCCTGCCCTGCTCACAGCTCCTGCAGAGGAAGTCATTCTCCAGAGGAGGTGAGGGTGGGTGGAATGAGCAAGCCCAGTGCAGTGTCCCAGATGCCCCCCCCACCCCCAGGGGCTCACGGACACATCTCCAGCCTCTTGTGAACTGGTCTAACGTCACAGGGTAGGCATCGAAGACCCCTTTATGCCACTCGCCAGCTGGCTTCAGAGCTGGTGTTCTTCCCAATACGTGCAGGCATGAGTTATTTGTATTTGTCTAAGCTACTAAACACTCTCAGTCAAGACCAAAATGTTTAGAAAATCTACTACATTAACTGTTAATGCAATATTCAACTATTATTTATAACACAGACATTTTTTTCTGAAGGACAAGGACTCAGTTCCACAGGAATCCCTCAGAATTCTACAACAGCTTGCTGGTTTCCTTTAAGAGAAATAATTGTTAAAAACAGTCGATGGGGTGCCTGGGTGGCTTAGTCGGTTAAGCGTCCAACTTTCACTTAGGTCACGATCTCGCGGTTCGTGGGTTTGAGCCCCGCGTCGGGCTCTGTGCTGACTGCCAGCTCAGAGCCTGGAGCCTGTTTCAGTCTGTGACTCCCTCTCTCTCCGACCCTCCCCTGCTCACGCTGTCTCTCTCTCTCTCCTAAAAATAAATAAAACATTAAAAAAAAAAAAACAGCCGAGTAAACGGTCTGTTCTAATATCGATGCAGGGGTGCATATGAATGTGTGTCCAGGCGTGTGCACATGTGTGCACGTGTAGGTAAGTGAGCTCCTCTTTTTTCTTTTCTGTCTTCAGAGCGTTTATGAGAGCAGTCAGAAATACCATAAGTGATAGACCTTTTAGTAAACATTTGTTAATAATTCCTTGGCCTTGAAATCTAAACTTTGTCATCAAAGAATAAAGTTAATACTGTTGACGTTTGAACACCGTGACTTGAACTGTTGGGGTCCACTTACATGTGGGTTTTTTCCAACAGACACAGTATAGTACTCTAAATGTGTTTTCTCTTCCTTATGATTTTTTTTGATTGCACACATATATTTAAGAATACAGCTTTGTGTAGGATGCTAAGGGCACTTTTCTTCATATTTTATGGAAGGACCAGAAGCATATGGACTTTCTATTAATATGCAACACAGCAAATCTAATTCCTAAATAGACACATTACAATTTGTTTAGAGTTTAAAGGCTTAATGGCGATGATGAGGGGAGGAAAAAGTTTATTCTACATAACTGGATGCAAAATAATTCAAGAAGTAGTAAATGAAATCTAATACAGTCTCGTGCGCCCCGAAGGAGGCGGTGCCCGATTTGGAGCGGTCATTGCTGCGTCCACGTGGTCTCTGATCTGGACCTGCTGTGACTGCAGGGTCATGGAGTCACCAGTCCCCTTCCTCCCAGACGTGGTGCTGCCGATCTCCTTTACTTGATAGCCAGGCCTTTTAGGATCTGTAAAAATAACCGCAGAATTGAAGCGTGCGCCCTTCTCTCTAGCTTCTGGGTACACTTCTTTTACTAAACTACGCAGTTCTTTCACCCATCCACGCATAGGTCTGCAGTTTACCGGACGGTGTGCTTCCAGGGGAGAATTCGTCCATTCGGTGGTGGCGGCCCTTGGTGGTGGTGAAAACACGCAGCAGCTGTAGGCACGTCCCATACTTTCTCCTGATCGGGCGGTTTCTCCGGCCCCTTCTTCGTTTCCTCCTGGGTAACTGCGACTCCACCACATCTTCCTCCTCCGTCTTCCTTACGATTTTCCTAGTGGTATTTTCCTTTCTCTACTTTATTTTAGGACTACAGTATATACAACATACAAAATACAACAGTAGGGCATCCGGTCAACAGTAGTAGTTGAGTTTTGGGGAGAGTCTAAAGTTATATGCAGATTTCTGACTACACAGAATCAATGCCTTTAACTCCTGAGTTGTTCAAAAGTCAACTGTATATTCTTTTTTTTTTAATGTTTATTTATTTTTGAGAGAGAGAGACAGAGACAGAGAGTAGGGGAGGCATAGGGAGAGAGAGAGAGAGAGAGAGAGAGAGAGAATCCCAAGCAGACTCCATGATGCCTGCACAGAACCCATCTCATAGGGGCCTGAACTCACAAACTTTGAGATCATGACCTAAGCAGAAATCAGGTCTGATGCTTAACTGACTGACCCACGCAGGTGCCCCAAGATGTATATTCTTTTATTTCACTGTTCAGAATCTCATGCAGTTTGATTTAGTCATTTTCTGTTCCAGAAAGTTTCTTCCCTGGGGTTCCAACTATTAAAGTCTCATCTTCAAGAAACATTACCCTGGGGCACCTGGGTGGCTCAGTCAGTTAGGCATCCATCTTTGGCTCAGGTCATGATCTCGCGTTCTGGGCGTTCAAGCCCCACGTTGGGCTCTGAGCTGACAGCTTAGAGCCTGGAGCCTGTCTTCAGATTCTGTGTCTCCCTCTCTCTCTGCCCCTCCCCTGCTTGTGGTCGGTCTCTCTCTCTGTCACTCAAAAATAAATGAACATTAAAAAAAAAAAGAAAAGCATTACCCTGAGAAACCCTGGTCTGGCCTCCCTGCTCCCATCCCTCCTGTAGACACTGCTCACAATAAACATCCACAAAATAGCTGCCACGGTAGCCACACGGCATGGGGAGGCCACACGTACTGGGAATAAAAGAAAAGAAAGTTCAGATGGAAAACATCTGGAAAGTGTCCTAACTTTCTCAGCATAACAATAATTTAGTATGCAGAGGATTATTTAAAAAAAGATTCCCCGAAGGGTGACAAAGTTATTTAGGGCTTGAGAACCCTGAATGGGCACAGCAGAGACTGGGGGGGGGGGGCGGTCATTCCTCACACCTTTAACACACAAGGTCTGCAATCAGCCCCCCAAACCCAAAGCCAGGCTCAGGGCTCAGAGAGAGGCTGCGGAGTTCCCACCTGGAGCGCCTTGCTGTCTGTCCCTCCCGGCTGAGGGTCCAGAGGGCCCTGAAGTAAGAGAGGACGCAACCCTGAACTTGCGGCCTGCACCGGGCTCAGTGCGCTCCTGCCAAGACACAAGAGACATCTGTTTTGATCATCATGACGCACTGTCAGAGAGGATCACTTTCCTGTTTTACGAACGAGGAAACTGAGGCTTAGAGGAGCCGGTTAGGTTACTGAGTTTACACAGGTAGTGGGTGGGAGAGCGTAACCAGACGATCAGCCATCGGAGGACCGGCTCCTGGCCACCGTGTGCCCTTGGCTCCAAAATGAGGCAACTCTGAGCTGCAGTCTTCGTCACCCTAGGCCTCCTGGCCTCGGTCAGGGCTGTCTGTTTGGGAGATGCCCAGTAAACACGAGCTTGGAACCCCAGGATCCCCTCCTCCGGGCTGGCCGGGACCCTGCGAGCCCCCGGGGGGGTCGTTCCTGGAGCACACAGCAGACAGTGCGGAACGTGTTTGGAAACTCTGCACCCTGGCATTTGGCACGCGCCATTGTTCCACAACTGAGTGTTGGTGTTTATTAGTTGCATCTGACAAATTCCCCAGCAGCAGATGCTGCCCACCCACGTGCAGCTGCTCAGTCAAGTGTGAGCATCTCCTGTGCTTCCTGCCCCCCACCTGCCGCCAGCAGGCGGCCCCCCTGTGAGAGTGGCATCGGCCCTCTGACCTGGACCCCACCGCAGTCCACATGCCTCACCCCTCCCTTGCCCACCTGGTTTGCTTGAGGTCTTATTTACTGTTACTGTCCCCAGCTATTTGCTGCCATTCCCCGTGTGTCCCAGACATTATCCCCCGGCTGCAAGCCCCTCCCCTGCTTTAGAAGGATACTTTATACTCCCCTGAGGCCAGGCTTGAGCCTGTGACTTGTTTGGGCCAAGCTCAGACGTCAGACCCCCAGGGCTCAGAGCCACGGTGGGGCTCCCCCAGCGCCGGGCCACTAGAATGGCAGGTGCCAGCTGTGACGGTTCCTTCAGCCGGGGTCCCAGGGTGAGGAAGGCCGGGGGCTGCAGGTGCGCCTGAGAGCCTGAGCACAGGTCCGCCTGTGTGGGGGGAGTTAGGGAGCCACTGAGGTTTGGGGCCTGTCTGGCAAAAGCGGACTTGGGACTGGGAAGCCCGGAGGAGTGAAAGTGCCTTAGTCTGTCAGGCCTAGGCATTGACTTAAGAATGACGTGTTCACAGAAATGGCGGCTGCCGTCTGGTCCCCCCTGCGTCCCCTGGACCTGCTTCTGCACAAGGCAACCCTCCTCTGACACCTCCCCACCGGCCCTTCCATGTCGTGTGGGGGCGGTGACACCCTCAGGCTGCCCCTGCCCCGCGGGCCCGTGCCGTCCGGGGCCGCCGGCCGGCTTCCGGAAAGCCTGAGCGTCCGTGCGGGACAAACCCCGCCGTCCCCGGGCAAGCGTCCCTTCCCCCGCGGTCTCCCTGGGGTCGCAGAGCTTCCACCTGCGGGCACCGCGCGTAGCCGGCTCCCGGGGGCGGCTTCCACCCCTGACGCTACACTGCCGCCGTCCGCCGCGCGCCGAGGGGGCGGGTGCGGAGGGAGAAGCACGCGCGCGGAGTAACCACACCCGTACTTTATCCAAACAGCCTGTGCACGGTGGGCTTTGAAGTCGACTACACGGCGCGGGACGGGAGGGGACAGAGGTCTGGAACCGCAGCCAGGCTGAAGGGGAAGCCCCCCCGGCAAGGAGGCCGGGCGGGGGAAGAGCGAGCGGCCGAGACTGGGGACCTGTGTGTCCCCAGGAGCGTGTCCCGGCGGCGAGGCGCCAGGGGGCGTGTCTGCCGAGCCGGGGGCGTGTCTGCCGGGCTGGAGGCGTGTCCACCGCCGGGGGCGCCAGGGGGCGTGTCTGCCGAGCCGGGGGCGTGTCTGCCGGGCTGGGGGCGTGTCCACCGCCGGGGGCGCCAGGGGGCGTGTCTGCCGTGCCGGGGCGTGTCCGGACGGCGGGGGCGTCAGGGGGCGTGTCGCGGGGCCGGGGGCGTGTCCGTCCATGGGGGCGTGTCCAGGGTCAGCAGCCCAGAGGCGGAAAGGCGCCGCTCCCGCAGCTGGGTGGCACCGATTGCCAAGTGGGGCGGGGGTCGCGGTGCAGCCCTGGCAGGGACGCGTGCGCGGCTCGGGAACACAGGTGGGGTCGGCGGGCTGGGGGCCCACTCGGGACGGCGGGCTCGGGGACCGAGGCCTACGCCGGACGGCGGGCTGGAGGCCCGCTGGGGACGGCGGCCGCGGCCGCCAGCCAGTCAGAGGCGGGCTTCAGGAACTCTGCCCCTTTTCAGGGAGACGCAGGGCCTGCGGCGGACGCTGTGTGTGTCCCCCGGATTCGGGCAGGATGAAGCCCGCGGCCCCTCGCCGCCTGCTCCTGTGCGCCGTGTGCCTGGCGCTGTGCTGCGTGGGCGGCGCGCGCGAGTCCTGGACCAGGTGAGCCCCTGGGTGGCCGGGGTGCGCGGCCCGCGCGGGCAGGTGCGGGCAGCAGGGGCACGTCGGGGCTCTGGCCCGCTCTGAGATTGTTGACGCGCACATTTAACTTCGGTTCCAGAAATATCTGGGAAATGGTGGCGGTTCCTCTTTTTGGGTTTCTTAACGCTGGCTCTTCATCCGTCTCCCTTCCCTTCCAACTTTCTTCTTCTTCTTCTTCTTTTTAATGTTTTGTTGTTGTTGTTGTTGTTGTTTTGAGAGCGAGACAGTGTGAGCAGGGGAGGGGCAGAGAGAGAGGGAGACACAGAATCCGAAGCAGCCCCAGGCTCCGAGCTGTCAGCACAGAGCCCGACGCGGAGCTGGAACTCACAAACAGCAGCGGGATCATGACCTGAACCAAATGCTTAACTGACTGAGCCACCCAGGCGCCCCCCTTCCTCCTTTTCCAGCCAGGGGTCCACAGGCCGCCTTCCAGAGGATTCTCCTACTTTGGTAGAGGAAACCAAATTTTGAGTACCAGATTTCAATATTCTATTTATTTTGGGTAATGATCTCGTTAATAAAGGCTTCCATACTTATAGAGTAAGTTTGGGAACAGGTGGGTTTTACTTTTTAATTAAGTGCCATTGTTGAAAGCCGATTTTCTGAAAAAGAGCTGTGTTAATTAATTGATTAGTTTTTGCCATCACTGGAGAGATCGTGGGGCGCACTGGTTAGTACCAACCACCAGTTCACGTCCAGATGTGAGATGTCAGACACTCACCCGACTGAGTCACCCTGGCGCCCCTGAATCGTTCCTTCCAAATTCCATTTATCCTGACTCCAGTGTGTGAGCGCCCTTCCCAGGCTGCTGCTGACATTTTCCCTCTGCAGAGCATTTTTGCCAGCTGCCCTGTCTGCCCTGACCTCTTGGCACACAGGCCTCGCACACGCAGGTGGTGTTCCGAGTGTGGCTACGCGTCCCGTACCTGGAGGTCTGGGCTTCAGGGCGTGCGGGTCACACGGTGCACAGCCATGCCCCAGACTGTCTGCAGGAGCATCGTGGGGTCAAACAGCTGCACCTTCTCATGTGGGGAGGGGGGTGTAGTGTACTAGGCAGCCCCGGTGCTGGCTCAGGTCATGTTCTTTTGCCAAGTGCACTACAGAAAACTTCAGCTTTGGGGCCTTTAACAGGATTCACACTGGTGGCTGATGGTTCTGTTTCTCCACTTGTGAGCAGCCTTAGGAGGAAGGCCGTACCCTACTCCCTCTGGGCCGTCCCTGGCTTCCTGGTCTAAAATTCCAGCTCCCCTCATGGCTGCTGACATGCCTGTTCTCTTCCTTACTTAGATTCTGGGTTTTTTTTTTTACGTTTGTTTATTTCGAGAGACAAACAGTGCTCACATGAGCAGGGGAGGGGCAGAGACCGAGGGAGAGAGAATCCCAAGGAGGGTCTACACTGTCAGCACGGACCCAGACAGGGCCTCGAACTCAGGAAATGTGAGATCATGACCTGAGCAAGATCATGACCAAGAGTTGGGCGCTCAACTGGCTGAGCCCTCCGGGCACCCCTAAATTCTTTATCACCATGAGCATGGGGCACCATGGGTGTTTCTCGGCTCCCGTGGTCAAGGTCTCCCTCACTGGCACGCGTGCTCCAAGAGTGTGGGGACTTGGTCCCTGCCCACAACAACGCCCCTGCCCCAAAGGGGTGCCTGGCCTGTCACAGGCACTCAGTGTGTTGAGTGAATGGTGCCTGAATGGATAGATGAATGGATTTTTCTTTAACTTTAAAACAGTTCTTGAAAAGCACGTTCCTTGTCTTTAACAGGGGCAACCACGAGTGGAAAAAGCTAATTATGGTTCACCACTGGCCTGTAACAGTGTGCAAGGTGAGTTCTCCGTCCTCAGCCGCCCCGTTCCTCCGTGCAGCCCCGGGCAGTCGTTTGCACCCACGTTTTCCTCGTGAGATCACGTGTCACTCCTAGCAATCTGTCGCCTACTCTACGGGGCTCGCTCTCTCTGGATTTAGTTTCCTGAGCTTCACACCTCGCCGTGTCTTTCTGGCTGTGGTGCTGTTCACGAGCTCCAGGTAGAGGAGAGTTGGACGGGAGAGCATGGGCTTGGAGAGCTCTGAGCTCTGCTGGAGGCCTGGCTCCGCCCCGGGTTCCGGTGGGAGGGGCCGCGTGGTGACAGCTCCTTTCTTAAGGGACAGGGCAAGCTTTGCCTTCCGGGCTGGGAGCAGGTCTTTGGTGGGTGTGTTCCTGAGCCCTGACTGTGAATATATAAGGAAGTGCATTCCTTCCTTGAGGCTTTAGAATGAGAGTGAAAAAAAAATCAACTGCTAGAGAAATGTCATTGTTAAGGAATTAATTTCGGTTCCGGGTGGCCACCGCCAGGGGTCCTGTTACTCTGGTCGAGGTATCTTCCTGGGCAGCGGGGCTGCCTCTGGGCGCCTTCCCCGCGTGAGTGACATGGGCATTACAGGTGCGGTGACAGGGGCTTCTTTCTCCACGGTCGTCCTCGGTGCTCTGCCAGGCCCCTGGGCACGTGCTGGGCACTGACCAGTACTTGCTGACGATGAACAAAAGCTGTCCCTGGGCCCCAGTGCCCCCTTTAGAGGCTCGTCTGGGGGCAGAAGAGCCACCCGCCAGCCCTGGCTCCTGGCTTTGCTCTCTACCAGCTGGGCCCCTGGGGGCTGAAACTGGGGTGTCGGGAAAGGTGAGGTTTACGCCCCCGCTCTGATCCTGCACTGGGTCATCTGCCCTTCTGCCCTCGCGGTGCGTGGCGGGTACCTTTCATGCCTCCACACGCTGGCCTCCTAGACCAGAGCCTCCCTAATTTCTGGGACAGAAGCTCAGATGACCTGGGAGGAAAGGCTTGAAACCTGTTCCTCACTGGACAGCCACACCCTCTCTTCATTGGCTTTTTCCCTGCCCCCGTCGGGCACGAGTCCCGTCTCCTCTGGTCTCATAGCCGGTGTATTTCTTGATCATTGGCTGTTTTGGAAAAACTCCACTTAAGCTAAACCACACGGAGGTCCGTGAAGAGTATGCGACTGGGGTTTTATCTCTGTGAACTTAATCTTTGTTTACAGGGTATTGCCATCCTCAAATGGGTATTTTTTGTTATATGATAAGAAAATTATGGGCAAATAAGAGTGTTTCCATCAGATTGACTTAATTTGAGAACACATTTTTAAAAAGAAGCAAAACTTCTTTAAAAGAAGTAAAACTCAGTTTTTAATTCTGTCACATAATGGTTTGAAGGTTGGGCCCCTCCTTCCAGATGGGACATGCGCCCCCTGGAGGGCTGTGCTGGAATCTTCTGGTGTGGGTGGGCTCTGCGCTCTAGCTGGTGATGTATTATGTCAAAGAAGGGGAAGCTGGTAGGTGTATCTAGGTAAACAATGAAGCGGAGATTATTTCCTCTGCTTTCTCGTGTCTTCTCTGTGCAGGAAGTTGAAAAGGACTGCCGAGACCCTCCTGACTACTGGACCATACACGGACTATGGCAAGCCCTTACTGTGATTCAGATTTAAACAGGAAGGGGCGCTTGGGGGCCTCTGTCGATTAAATATCTGACTTCGGCTCAGGTCATGATCTCATGGCTCGTGACATCGAGCCCAGCATCAGGCTCTGTGCTGACAGCTCAGAGCCTGGAGCTGCTTCAGATTCTGTGTCTCCTTCTCTCTCTGGCCCGCCCCTGCTCACCCTCTGTCTCTCTCTCAAAAATAAATAAACATTAACAAAATTTTTAAAAGAATTTAACAGGGAAGAGAAGCTAGCCAACTTGCAAGTATCTTGGGGACTGATCTAGATAGTTATACTCGTGAGTTTTGTTAGTTTATTTGATAGACCAAATCCTTATTTATAGACTCTTCAGTCTTTCAGCAATAACCCTGATATTGTTGCTGTTCAGTTCTGTCTTGATAGAACAGTAATGATCTGGCTTAAATATGCATTTAGGGATTCTGGGCCCGTTTTGGGGATGACTAAAAGTAATTTTCTCATTTTGTTCTCCTTTGGGGGCAATAAGTAGATAATGTAAAAATAAATACACGAGTATCACGCGTGTTTATTACATGTATCTACATTGGGCACCTGTCAGGATACCTAAATTCATTTTTCTGGTTTTGCCTGCATTTTGTTTAGTTTATTCTTTCCTCATTTGTGCGTTTAACTGTGTGCGTTAAGTCTGCCCGGTCAAAGGGATGTCTCATGCTGGCCTTTGCTGACACGTGCCCATTCCTCAGGAATGGGGTTTTGTAGGAAGCAAATTAAACTGGCCCCTCCTTCGCCCTAGACTTACCAGGGACCCTGACACTCATCCCCGGGACTTTGGCCTTCTTGGGTCTTGCTGATGTTCCTGCCGCTGTGTTTGTGGCCAGGACCGTGCACAACGCTGCCCTTGTTTCTGTGGGGGCTGCACGGATTTCGGGTTGCTGGGCCAGCCTGTTGACCCTGGAGACACACCAGGGGTCGGACAGTAGATTTGGTGGCCTTCGGAACTGGCTCAGCTGAAGACAGGGGGTTGACATGTCCAGAATTAGGCAGATGAGGGGAAGTAGGAGGGTACCGTGCTTGGTGGTGTGGAGTGTAGACAGCAGAGGGCAGTTAGAATCCAGCCTGACTCCGGAGCTCCCCCTACCCGGTTGTTTAATTTGGTTCCTGGACATTGTCTGAAAGGCGGTCAGCTGTGACTGCTTGTACCTGCGTGTCCTTGTTGAGTGACCCACGCAGTGTGACAGCTTCCCTTCCTTTACTCTCTGCAGACCTTAATGGAAGTGTTTGCTCCTGCCTTTTGGAACTCATCTCGACTGAGACTAATTTCTGTTGTTTTAATTTTAACTTCCAGGCCTGACAAAGCAGAGGAGTGCAACAGATCCTGGCACTTTAATTTCCAAGAGATTAAGGTACAGACTTGTAATCGTGTCGCTGCTGTAGAGTACTGGACTCTATCACCCCTCTTCTCCATAAGCGTAGCTTCAAGGTCCTGGTTTAAAATGAGGAATCACGAGCCTCATCCACCAGGATTGAACCCTCGGCACTTTTCTCGTATTTACTGATACCCGAGCGATCCCACGAGTTAAATACGAACTACCTTGCCTCCTCTGCCCTGGGCCCAAACCACTCCAAGTGAATTGTGCGATGTGAAGGCAGACGTGAGCGGAGACGGCCCTGGCTGTCCCCTGCCTGCCCACAGTAGGCCCCGGTCCCCCGTGACTCCTGGCCGGATTGCTGTGGTTAGCATTTCCGCACAGCTGTGACTCGGGGGACAGACGCACGCATGGCACCACACCTGTGCTTTCTGCTGTGGGCGGGGAGGAAGGGATGGGTCTTTCCAGCACGATGACCACTGTCACAGGATAGCCCAGGGAGTGGCATTGGCAAGCCCTGATAGCAGAGGGTCTCTTCGAGATGCTTCTCCATTGTGTGCGGACCCACAGGGGTGTTCACCTTTCCTCGGGGGATGTGAGCAGCCCCTGCTGTGTAATCAGTCATCCGTCAGGGTAACTGGTGCCTGGGTTTACGGGTCACTGGGGCCTCCCTGGAAACATGGGGTAGCATCAGGATTTGCTAGAACTAGGGTCCTTCCTGTGAATATATGGCCTCCCAAAGGGCAAGGCAGCTAGTTCTAAGCTGACTGCTTTAGTCTAGAAGGTCTCCTTTTCTCCTCCTTCCTTCCTGTGAGGACCTTCAGGGGCCTGAGCCTGGAGGCCGGAGAGTCTGAGCACCGTCTGTGAGAGTTACTAGTGCACCCCAAAGCCTGGCCACCTCTCGTTCCTCAGATGTCCTTCCCCTTCCCGGACTCAGTCAGCTCGCCTGATGCCGTGGGCTTGTTCCTGACTAGCGCCCCGTGACCTGCGCGCGGAGTTACAGGCTCACTGGTGCTGCGATGGCACTCGGTGCCCAGAGCATTGAGGCCGCGGAGGGACCGAGCCCCCTGTGTCTTTTCTAGTAACTGCCCCGGCTGCCGGCTGGGTGGCGGGCGCGGGGGACCAGGCAGGGGTGAGGAGCTGAGTGGGCAGAGGCTGCGGGAGGGGAGCCTGAAGTGGAATGAACAGGGCTCGGGGACTGGCTGGGGGGCGGTGTCGGGCAGGACTCTGGACATGAGCTTGGGGTGGGGGGTGTCCGTCTCCTTCCCGGTGCGGCCCGGCAGGGGACTGCCCTTCGGCCCTGTATGGTGAGCGGCAGCTTTGGGCGTGTTGCGGGTGAGGTGCCCCGGAACGTCCTCTGTGCCCGCGGAGAGTGTGGGCTGGGGGTGACCTTCCGCTGGGACCGTGCGCAGCTGGGGGGTCCATGGAGGGGCGCTGACAGGTTTACCAAAGGAAGGCTGGACATGCCCTTTGGATTGAGCGGGGAGGCGCTCAGGTGGGGGCCGGGGTACCTGCTCTGTCCACACGGCCCAGGTTAGCGGTGGTCCCAAAGGGAAGCGGGCCGCTTCCCAACCCCCCACCGGCACCGGCAGGTGCCGAAGCTGGAGTGTGTGGGGGGCACAGAGACGGTGGGGCAGGCAGCCGGCTGATTGGGGCAGGGGAGCAGAGGGGGCCGGGCGGTCGGTGACTGGTGGGCGGGGCGGGGGCGGGGCGGCAGCACAAGCGAGAGAGAAGCCGTCCAGAGCTTGTCCATAGCCTTCACCTGAGTTCTGGCCTAGTGGGTTTGTAGAATTGGGACGTGACCCTGAGCACCGTTCAGTGCGGGGGGCGGGGGAGGGGGTTAAGGACACAGACGTCCACCCACATGTAACCTGTAATTCCTGTTGTCTCAGTTAACTAGTAGATGCTACTCTTTAGGGAAGTTTCAGAAGCTGAAGCAGAAGAATTAGGTGGAAAGACCAGAGTCCCCGCGACATGCAGACTGTTTCCTGTTGTTAACGCCTTGCTCAGTGCGGGACCCTAGTAACAGCATTGATCCTGGTCACTCAGTCTTTAACATATGTATATATACTTTTTAATGTTTTATTTATTTCTGAGAGAGAGAGAGAGAGAGAGAGAGAGAGGGAGACAGAATCTGAAACAGGCTCCAGGCTCTGAGCTGTCAGCACAGAGCCCGACGCGGGGCTCGAACCCACGAACCGCAAGATCATGACCTGAGCCAAAGTTGGACGCTTACCGACTGAGCCCCCAGGCGCCGCTCCTCGTCACCCAGTCTTACAGTCCCGTCGGGTGCACTCAGTGTTAGGTAGTTTTGGGGGTTCTGACAGATGTGACGTGTGTCCACTGCTGTACCCTTAGTTTCATTGCCCCCAAATCCCTTGTTCTCCACGCACCCCGCCCTCCCCCAGCCCCTGACCCCACTGACCCTCCACCGTCTCGAGCGTGGTCTCTTCCGGTGTGGCACGTTTGGAATCATTCGGCCGCTTCAGATCGGCTCGCTGCACTCAGTCGTGGCCTGGACGGCTGCTCCACGTCTCCTCACGGCCGCCGGCTCGCTCCTCCCGGGAGCTGCCCTCACCTGCGAGCGCTTGTGTTCTCAGGCGCACTTCCGTGATGAGACAGGTTTCGTTTTTATGTGTTTCTGAAGACACTTCCTGCGGAGTAAGGGCAGAATCCTTTCACTCATGAGTGTTCTTGATTAACAGAGGTCATTTTTTCTAATGTTTTAGTTTATCAATTTGCCCGGTAGGTTTTGAGCTCTCAGGTCCTATGCAGACTTCTTTTTTCTTTTTTTTCTTACACACAGGACCTTCTGCCAGAAATGAAGATGTACTGGCCTGATGTCCTCCATCCGCAAAATCGCAGCCATTTCTGGTAAGCCAGTGAGTCCACACTCGGGAGCATGGAGTGGGGCCGGGGAGCCCCGAGCAGGGCTGGGGAGCATCAAGCGAGCCTCAGCAGCATCGAGCAGGGCAGGGGAGCACTCAGTGAGCCTCAGCAGCATCGAGCAGGGCAGGGGAGCACTGACCGAGGACCTCAGGACATCAAACGGGGCTGGGGAATACCGAGTGGGGATCTCAGTGAGCACCGAGCAGGGGCCGGTGAGCACCAAGTGGGGCCTCGGGAGCATTGAGCGGGGTCGGGGAGCACTGATTGGAGTCTTGGGAGCATTGAGCGGGGCTGGGGAGCACTGAGCTGGGGCTCAGGAGCACCGAGCGGGACCAGGGAACATCGGGCGGGGCCGGAGGGTGCGGGAACAGACCTGGGGCTCCCCTTCTGAGGCGCAGAAGTTTGAACAACTTTTATTCAGTATGTTCTTTTCAGGGCCCTTTTCCAATGACTAAAAAATGAGAGCAAGTGAAATTTACTTTTTAGGCTGCTTCTTAATGCGTATTTCATTCGTCACTTTGTTTCAGAATCTTTCTCCCCTGAGGTTTCACTAAACCCAGATAGATACTGCGTGTCTGAGAGGCAGTCACTGCAGCCCCCTCTTAGATTGCGCTGCTGTGCAGAGACTCATGCTCACGCAGATCGTGGCCTCACGCTCTGGCTCAGGGAGGAGACAGTGAAGTCCCTGCTCCCACGGCTCAGTCCGTGGTCCGCTCCAGGGCCCTCTGCGAGGGGGTGAGCCACGGAGAAAAATGCCGTGTTTAATTCAACACAGCTTCTTAAATCATTGCTTTTGAAGAAGGTAAAAGTAACAGTCCTTCTGTTTACATGTGTTAAGCAAAAGGAATTATTGTGTCTGCCTTGCTTCCATCTGGCAACTCATAATTCACATTACAGTTCAGATTTTTGTCCAAAATGATTAATTCCGTTTGGAAATATTGTGTAGAATATTCAGAAAGGCATTCAGTTTAGACAAGGTTTCTGCAACCATGTGGAGTGGCAGTGATGCCTGTACCCCCCCGGCTCCCCCCCATGCCCCGTGCCGTCCTCTCCCCCGTATCTCCGCTCCCCCACCCCAGCTCCCTGGCGCCCAGGCTCAGAGCTCACTCCCGCGTGTGTGGCAGGGACGCGGCTTTAGGCCCCATGCACCCGGGTCTGTAGGTTGAAATCGTCTCTTCAGTGGAGAAGAGAACCATTCGGAGTTGGGGACGTGAAGGGTCCAGGTCTCCAGGCGCGTTCTGCACTGTCTAGTTCTAGAAACGGTTTCACAGTGGATAATGGCCAAGTTGAAAAGGGAAAAACAGTGGAAAGACGTGCCCAGCGCCTCACATTGTGCTTACAAACGACAGATCTGTGCTAAGTGTGCAAAATAGTCTTCCCACTTGTCACAGTGCTTGGTGACAGAATCGGGTGACTTAAAAGTAAATCGACAGGTACACATAAAGGAGCCTCCCTGACTGGGGCCCTTGAGGATTTAATCCAAATAATGCTGGCAGAGCGCACATGTAATTTTGAGCTTTGATGAAAGCAAAATGATGCTTTTTCAGGTTGGGTAGTTAAAGGCACATCTAAAATTTTTTGTTCCAAGCACAAAGGTAAACATCACGCGCTAACAGTGTTTATGCTCCCAGAGCTCCCCACGGTGACAGCGCGGGGACCGCCTCCCGAGCGTGGCATCCGGGTCCCCACTGCACTGTGGCCCCCGTTGCTTTGCCGCGTGGATTTCTAGGGTGTCGGCCTCAGCGTCCTTGTGGGACTTGAGGCAGAGGAGGGCTGCTGGCGGAACACTGTCCTCTTCAGCCCAGATGGGCTCAGGTGTGCAGAGTGGAGGGTGTTGGCGTTACTTCACGTTTGAGATAATCCTCTAAGATTAAATCTGTGAATAAAATTGGACCTGTGAAAAATACCACGTACAGAACGCTCTGCAAAGTGGGATTTTTGTTTGTTTCTTGACGCTTGTGTGACAATGAGGGTTGGGTCATAGTTTGGCGACAGCCTCCCTGTGGGTGGTGTCCCTGGGCCGAGGTGGGCCCGGCAGCCCCCGGGTCCACTCACACCCGCGCCGAAAGGGCCACGCGGTGGTCACCTTGCAGTGCTAACTGACGATTCCGTGTGAAACGAACGAGGCCCAGTTCCGTGGGCTTACGTGTTGGGACCGTGTTAACAGTACTCTCGCACATTTGGATCCTTAGCCTCTGTTAAGCTGCAGGTAAAAATAATAATTGACATTCGTTGAGTACTTCTTACGAGCCAGGAGCCTTTTGGCTAGTGTGATAGCGCTCTGCACGCGCCCCTCATCGTCTGCCAGCGCCCTCCGGAACGGGCTCCAGAAAGAGGTGTTCTGCTTCTGTCCAGGCGGGGAGAACCTCCTTTCTAGTGGATAGAATATAGGCATTTACTGGATGACTCATTCTGGAAACTGCTCTAGACGAAGAAAGTTGTTCACACATTTTTATCATTTCCCGTAGGCTGGAGAGACCCGTGGCTGGTAGCCTGGCGGTCACTCAGCCGGCACCGCGGGGGTAGGGGGGGAGGGCCACGAGCCAGTGCACATTCGGATTGTAGTGTGTAAGACAGCACGCGACCCCGTATGAATGCCAGGTGAAAGTATTTACTAAAATAATTACAAGTTAATCAGTGATGAGGTGGAGGGAAGCCGACGCCGTTTGCTCTTCCCCTTGCTGTGGGTGGCCAACACCTGGACACAGAGTTCAGCGTGTCCTTCAGGCGTGGACCCTGGGCTTCCTGGCTGACGGGCCTCAGCAGGGTACCCAGCTACGCCCCCTGAGCCTCAGTTTCCCCATTTCTAAGCCAGTAGTGGTTTCGCCTTGCAGAGTTGTGAGCACAGGGGAGGACGGAGGAAGCATCTCCTCCTTAATCTGCAGTCAAGTGTGAGGAGTTGTTGGCAATAAGAACGTTTCTCTGGAATACATGGTGCTCGTTAGCAGCACCTGCTTAGTGGGCTGCCGCGTGGGGTCCCCGAGGGTGGGCAGGGCACTGCCGCGTGGGGTCCCCGAGGGCGGGCGAGGGCATGGTCTGATGGGGGAGGCCGGGGTGGAGGTGGGCCTGAGGCCTTGCTCGGGAATCAGTGCTGTGGCCTCTTCTGGGCCACTTGCTGGGAAATGACTGTTGGGTGAGACCCCCGGGCGAGGCCACGGAGCAGTAGCTTGCGGCCGAGCCCCGGTGCCGTGTGAGGCGTGTGTGCTGGGACCGGGGCGCTTGCTTCTCCTCAGCTTTGACTTGCTGTGAATCGCAGAAGAGAATCGTCCGCGATGCGCAGCGGAGAAGCCGGAGCGCTCCGTAGACACTGTAGCGTGTCCCCCAGGGCCCCGCATCTGCTGGGGCCTCCTGTCCCCTGGGGCCCCGTGTCCTCTGGGGCCCCCGTCCACTTGCAGGGCAATCCGGAATGCTGCCTGTCGCCTAGAAGGAATTTTCTCTTTCTTTGTGAAAGAAACAACATGCGCCGCAAGTCCATCCTAGGCACGAACGTTTTCCTGCGAGTTTGTTGCACGCCTGGTAACTTGGGTGTCGTACAAAACCCACAGGGCGCACGAGTGGGAGAAGCACGGCACGTGCGCGGCGCAGGTGGACGCCCTCAGCTCTCAGAAGAAATACTTCGGGGGAGGCCTGGATCTGTACCAGGAGCTGGCGCTGAACAGGTAGGGGGTCCTCTGGGGCCAGTCCCTGGGCGGCCCCGCCCTCCAGCCAGACGGCCCCCAGCGGATGGCGCAGAGCTGCGTCTGTGGGCTGGGGAACCGGCCCGTGGAACGGTGTGAGGAACGGCAATGTCGCCTGCCGAGCCTTCCCAGATCAGCCTCGCAGACCGAGGGTGCTCTGGGCCCTGACGTTGTCGGCCGCGGAATTGGCCTGAGGAAACCAGACCAACCAGGGCGCGCATCTGTCAGCCGTGATCTCAGGCAGAAGTTTATTGTGTTAACACACACTTGTTGCCGAGCCTGCACGGCACCGAGTGTTTGGGCCCTTGCTGTGGTGCCGTGGAGCAGGCCAGGGGAGCCCTCCCAGTGACCCCGACCCGGACCCTGCACTGCCTGCCCCGTTCCTGAGCTCTGGAGCCCAGGGGAGCATGGCCCATGGCCACCAATGTCCCTGCTGGGGTGGGGGCCCCCTGCCCACCAGTGCCCGGCCCTGAGAGAGAGAGCTGGCTGTCCACCGTCCGGACAATTCTGGGGACCGAGTGTGTGAGGAGCCCCTCCTCCTCCTCCTCCTCCTCCTCTGAGCAGTCATAATAAACTGTGGCCTCATTTTCAAAACCACGACAGGAAATGCTACCATTTGCTTTACACGAATGAGCCAGAATCCTGGGTACTCGTGTTGAATACCCATGTGTAAGCTCTGGTGAGACGATGAGCGAGCCCCTGTCGGTTCCCTAGACACTTGCTCTCGTTCTCGGCGTGCAGCGGCACAGCCTGACGATGTGTCTGCTTTGTTTTAATTTTGTTTTTATGTTTGTTTATTTTGAGAGATTGAGACAGGGGAGGGGCAGAGAGAGGGAGAGAGAGAATCCCAAGGGGGCTCTGAGCTGTCAGCACAGAGCCCAACATGGGGCTCAAACCCACAAACCGTGAGATCATGACCTGAGCTGAAGTCAGACGCTCAATGGACTGAGCCACCCAGGCGACCCAGATCTTGTATTGTTCAACCCAATATATTTAAAGTAGTATTATTGTAACTTAAATATTTAAAATTTTGCGAAGTTGTATACTTCTCGAGGCTTTGAAGCCTCTTTACTGTGCCAGACAAGGTGAGGGCACGTTTATTTCCCGGGCTCAGAGGACCCTCGCCCACCACCCCGTCCTGCCTGTTTTAGCAGAGATCCAGACACTTAGTGGCGAGCTCTTTACAAAAACTGCCTTGTCAATGCAGTACATGGCATTGTCAGAAATCATGGCGGAGCAGGCGTGCTCTAGTCGGTCTGGTTTTCCCCGAGTCGACTCACCTGGCTGTGTCAGTACCCAGAGATGCACCCCGGGTCTCCGCATCTGTTCTGTGTGATCGAAGCCTGGATGATCCAGGGGGACATGACGGGGGCTCCAGTGCTGTTTGGGGATTCTTAATCTGAGAATTGTTGATACTGTGCTCCATAATTAGTGAGTTAGACATATGGTATTTCAGCAGGATGGCTGGTCAAAACCACGTGCTTTAGGAAATGATTCGAGTCCGTGGGTGTTTGAATGTATGTAGATTTCACCAAGTGTGGTTTTCTAGGATAAGCCTGGAATCCCAAATCAGTTGCTAACTATCTTTTTAAAAGGTGTGGCCGGTAGGTGGTCAGGTGTGTGCCAATGCCCATGCGTCCCACCCTCTGGGTCCGGTGGGTGAGGGGCAGTCGGGATGCTGAGGACAGTTTATTGGCTGCCCTTGGTCACAGCTTCATTGTCCAGAGGGTAGGCAGTAAGTACTTTCTGTTCAGACTGTCTTAATTTTTATTATGAAATAGGATGTTTGAAAAGAACAAGAAAGGAAAACATACCTTGCGATGCCACTAACTTTTTTACATTTAAATTTTAGCATGCTCCAAAAATTGGGAATAAAGCCATCTATCAATTACTACCAGGTGAGTGTCACTTTCAGCTTCTGAACCCAGTGCTGGGACATGCAGCAGTGGCCCAGGGTCACTGCAGCCTGTGAGCAACACTTGGCTTTTAAAGTGACCCAGACAAGCCCCCTCCTACTTCATTTTTGTGTTCCCAACAGATTTTATTTAAATTTTGTTTCCCTGTGCATGTTGAGTCTACGTAGACTGAAAACAACTTAAACCGATGCTTTTGAAGCATAGACTTAGGGTCCCCTCATGAGGAGGGCATTCGGGGTTCGCACAGGGCAGGTGGGGTATGTGTTTGAAAAGCACATTCAGATTTATAGTATTTGTTTGAGGAAGAAACCCAAGATTTGTTTCTGTTTTCATGATAAAACTGTAGTCATGTAACCATGAGCAGACCTTACTGTCTGGTAAGCTCATATGGAAGACAAGTGTCCACTCCGGACAACCTAATTTTATAAACTGGCTCCGCGGCTCATGGCCACATCCGTTCCTTCACTGTCACCCGTGGTCCCCCACACTGCACAGGTGTCGGACAGAGAGAGTCAGAGTGACCCTCAGAGCCTGAGATACTTACTCTGGTCCTTCATAGCAGAAGTTTGCTGACTCCTGCTTTAGAGGACCTATCAGCTTCTCTATTTAACCTTTTTCAGTCTCTGGGGATTAAAAAAAGACTTAAAGTGACTGATTATAGCAGTTCCTCGTCTCCAGTCTCAGGGCTGCAGACCGGACCTCCCGCAGGTCTCCTGACTGTGAAATGAATCAGCACTTTTGTTGTGCTCTGTGGTTTCCGGGTGGATGCAGCCAGCTCCCAGCTGACCTGTTCCCCTTCCAGAGAGGGTGGGGGTGGGAGGGAGCAGTGACCATGTGGAGTGTCAGCGGCCCCGTGCGAGAGAGTGTTCGCAGGGCCCCGTCGGTCTCCCGGGCTCATATGTGCCCAGAATGTGCCCCTCGGTGAACTGATTTCAATTATCTAATAACACCGAGGACACGGATGTTTGAGCCCCTGGTCTGTGCTGCAGACACTTTGTTAGGTCTCGGAGGCAGCAGGCTGTGAGCCCAGACAGAAGTCACCGGGCGGCGGAGGTTGGTCTGACGGCTCTCAGGAGAGTCTCTGCTTTTGCACTCGGCACCAGACTCTGGGTGTGCACAGAAGGGCCGGGCAGGGGAAGATGGAGACCGGGCGGGGCATCTGTGGGTCCCACTGGGGTCTGTGGGCGGAGCCCAAGCGGGCGACAGCCTCTCCCCAGCGCCTGGGAGCCTTGTCTGTGAGCCCCGCTGTCCCCCAGCCTCATGAGGCGGAGCCGTGAGACCGCCTCTTTCCAGGTGTCATTTCTAATGCACTTTATTTCATTTCAGGTGTCAGACATTAAAGACGCCCTTGCCAGCGTGTACGGAGTCATCCCTAAAGTCCAGTGTCTTCCGCCAAAATCGGTCAGATATGCTACATTTCGTTGCCCCTTCTGTCTTTATCAAGGACATGAGTTCAAGTCTTTTGACATCTTTATGGTCACCGTGGAGTTCCCAGGGACAGAGCCGTGTGTGTGTGTGTGTGTGTGTGTGTGAGTGTGAGAAGGGGCTGTGCATGGGTGTGTGTGCATACAGGTGTGCTCTGTGTATGTTTTCAAATCTCGGATGGGACACATGCACTTGGGTGTTTAGAGCAGCATTAGCTACAACGGGCAAGTTTTGGAAGCAGCGCAAGTGTCCCCTGACGGACGGGTGATGGAGAAGGTGTGCAGTATACACGACAGGTATTACTCAGCCCCAAGACAGAACAACACCGTGCCGTGTGCAGCGTGCAGGTGGAGCTAGAGAGCGTCATGCTGGGTGAAGCAGGTCTGGCAGAGACAGACGAGTATCGTACGATTTCAGGTGAAATATGGGACTTAAAACAAGCGAGCGAAGGAAAGAGAGAGGCAAGCGAAGAAACAGACTCTCCGCTACAGAAAGCACACGAGTGGTCACGTCACCTGAGGGACGGTGGGCGGGGGAGGGGGTTGGGAGGGACTTGCTGTGATGCGCGCAGGGGTGCGGCGCTGTCGAGTCCCCGTGCCGCACCCCGGAAATCGCCGTGACGCTGCGTGTTGACTGGCTGCAGCGATGTTTCTGTGTAAACGGGTTGCTCGTCGATGCCCTGCTAGAGCGGGCTGGGTTTTCTCGAGGCTTCATCCCAAGGAGAACACGTGTGTTCCGGAAGGCTTGCTGGGCCAGGAGCATGGGGCTGCCAGGCTGGCACAGGTTTGGGGGGGGAACTGGGGGGCCGGCCCCGCGCCCACTGCCCGTCACGCTGGGTCCCCCAACCCAGTTGGCATTGGAAAGAGGGGCTTACCCCTGGCGCCTGGAGCCCTGGGTCTGCGGTCACCCCTTGGCTCTTCAGGGTCTAAGACTTGACCGTAGAGACAACCATCTGAGAGCAGATTCTAGGACGTCTTTCATCTTGTGTTTCCAGGGTGAGGAGGTGCAGACGATCGGCCAGATAGAGCTGTGTTTCACCAAGGAGCTGAAGCCGCAGAACTGCACGGAGCCCGGGGAGCCCGTGGAGCCTGCGTCCCAACGGCCTGGGGCAGGGGCGGCCGGGGGCCCGGGGCTGGAGGTCTGTGAGGACGGCCCCGTCTTCTACCCCCCACCCGACGGGACGGCTCACTGACCCCCGCTCCGGAAACACTGTCTAAACGCAGGAGAAATTCACAAACCGCCTTGTCAACAAGCAGCCCCGACGTGAAACTGTTCTCAACTGGAAGCCGCCCGTCTGTCTTCCCGTCTTGGCGTCCGGGAGCAGATCCCGCGGGCCCGTAAGCTGGGTGCGTTGTGGGGACCCTGAAGGGAAGGAAGTGCCTCAGGCCTTGGCCGCTGCTGGGCGGCTGGAATAATAAAGGATACAGATTTTCCTTGTTTCTCCTTTGCTGCGTGCCTTGGCATCTTGGACGAGCGGGCACCCCTGGCGTTTGGGCACCTGCCAGGGGCTCAGGGGACCTCTGCCCGCCCGTGCGGGGCCGTGACAGGCCTGTCCTCAGGCCGGGATCAGGCTGACCCCGGGCCGGCCGTCTCCGCCTCCTGCCTCAGGGTGGACGTGTCTCTTCCTTGCAGCCATAGTGGACAGGACACGTTCAGCCAGGTCCCCCCAGATCCCCCCTCGGTGGCCTTGCATGGGTGTGTCCCCTGGGGGCCTGGTGCTGGTGGGCAAGATGCTCTGACCTGTGCTCCCGCCTGTAGACTGAATCCAGTTCAAACCCTGCTTCGGTTCATTCCTGCGAGGAGGCAGCCCAGCCGCAGAAGGGCCGGGGCCGCTGGTGAGTCAGTCCTCACAAGTCCTGCGACGCGGGGCGTCCGCAAGGGCAGGGCCCTTCCATGGGGTGCAGGACCGCGTGGCTTCACTCGTGGTCGGACGGGGCCGCAAGCGCTGCCCACAGACTCGCCACCTGGTGCACTGGTCACCCGAGCCCACGGAATGCTCTGTGAAATGGGCTGCCCGTGCTTTGTGAGCCCTCCATGTCATTCCTCCTCGCTCGGCCCTTTTTACGTGTGTGTGGCCGCGTGGGTTAAAAAACAACCCATCTAGTGTCCTGGTTCTTTTATTTATCAAGCCCTCAAAATAGAATCAGTCTGTGCTGGGCATGGTGTAAAGCACTGCAGAGCGTCAGTTCACTTAGTCCTCGGCACACCCGTGTGTTAGAGCCTCAGGTATAACGGGTCACTGGACTGAACGGCCGTCCGAGGTGACGCTGTTCAGACAGCCGACGCTTCCTCCCACGCTTTCTGGTTACTGTCGGTTGACAGGTGCGTGCGATCGATTCCAACAGCAACCCGGTTTTTAAAAAGGTGCCGAGTTTCTCATCAGAGCCAGCCTGGATTTTATTTCCTCGCGGGGTGAGCCTTGAAGGCTCTGTGCGCGTCCCAGAGCCGCCGTACAAGGCGCCGCAAACTGGGGGACTTGAAACAACAGAAACGTTCTCTCGTGGTTCTGGAGGCTGACGGCGGAGCCCAGGCTGTGGGCAGCGCCGCGCTTGCTCGAACGCTGGAGGGCGAGTCCTCCTCTGTCTCTTGTGGCTCCCGCCCGCCCTCGGCGAGTGGACACACCATTCCAGCGCCTGCCTCCGTGTCCGCGTGGCCCTCCCTGTGTGTGCCTGTCCCGCGTCAGGCCCCCCCTCCTCTCTTAGAAGGACACCAGTCATCTTGGACCAGGGCCACCCCGGCAACCTCGTTTCAACTTGATTACATCTGCAAAGACCTTATTTCCAAATGAGGTCATATAGAAACTTCTTCGGAAACTTCCTTTGTCGCTACCCCCTCCAGATGTATGTTGACACTCATACTCTAAGCTCATGGCCCCCAATACATGTCTGAAGGGTCTCATGACGGAGTTCTTACTAAATAGTGATAAATGACCTTTTCCTAACAATAGCGAGCCCCCTTGGGTCCTGGAAATCTTGTTTCCAAAATTACTTGGAAGCTTGTGCCATCTGCAGCCCCTCCCAACTTGAACATATGTAATTGGTCACCACGTGACCCCAGTGCAGCCTTTCTGCCCCCGGGTCCTGTCCCCGTGCCATAAGAAAACCACCTTTTGGCACCAAAGATGCCTCAAAAATGATTTCTTAGCCATTCACTCCAAACCCCAACGTTTCCACAGCAACCTTGGCATGAAGATTATTTTGAGTTAAGAAGGCAATTGGGGGGGCGCCTGGGTGGCTTAGTCGGTTAAGCATCCGACTTTCGCTTAGGTCATGATCTCGCGGTTCGTGAGTTCAAGCCCCGCGTCGGGCTCTGTGCTGACTGCCAGCTCGGGGCCTGGAGCCTGTTTCAGAGTCTGTGACTCCCTCTCTCTGACCCTCCCCTGCTCACGCTGTCTCTCTCTCTCTCTCCTGGAAATAAATAAATAAAAATATTAAAAAAAAAAAAAAAAAAAGAAGGCAATCGGGGTGCCTGGGTGGCCCAGTCAGTTAATTGTCCACTTCAGCTCAGATCATGATCTCGGAGTTTGAGATCGAGCCCCGCGTCGGGCTCTGTGCTGACAGCTCAGATCCTGGAGCTGCTTCTGGATTCTGCATCTCCCTCTCTCTCTCTGCCCCTCCCCCTGCTTAAAGATAAACAAACATTTTTTTAAAACTTTAAAAAAGTCTGTCAAAACCCAGAAGATTCAGGGAAAGCTCTTTCCATCTCCCTCGACGTGGAAGAAAGAATGGAGAAGAGGCTCTGCTCCAGGAGAGAGCGCCCAGTAAGTACCAGGTACAGCGCGGACTAGGGGTGTAGATGGGGAGCAGGAACCTAGCACAGCCGGTTTGGTCAAAGCCCTCTGCGTCCCATTGTTTCTGAGTGGCCACAAACATTTACTCTTCTATGTCTCCTGTGAATCGTGTTTCTTTCCTGGAAGACCCAGACTTCTGCCCGACATTTCCACCTCACTTTGCCTGTCCCTGGGACTCTTTGTCTTGCGGATTCCTCGTACGTACACCATTAAGTTTGATTTTCTCCCGTTAATCTGTCTCACGTCAATTTGATTCTTAGCTCAGTTAGAAGGACCTTTGAAGGGGACAGGAATTCTTGCTGTCGAACAGCTGACAGATCCATAAATAAACTTCTGGAAGACAGAGAAGGGCACAGACAGCCAGACCCTGGAAACAGATTTAGCGAGGACGTGAGATTTGAGACGGGCCAAGAAGGTTCATCCTCTGGAAACGCAGTGACTCAAAAAGCAACAGGTGGAGGGGGACAGAGACTGACCAGGCAAAGGGAGACGGTGCTGGTGGAGTTTTGGGGTGATGAGGGGTCCCGAGCTGACAGCCACGAAAGAATTCTTGAGACGTCTTTGGTGCAAAAAGGGAGTTTTATTGAAGCTTGGGGACAGCACCGTGGGCAGCACCGTGGGCAGCACCCATGGGCAGCACCGTGGGCAGGAAGAGCTGCCGGGACCAGAGGAGAGACGGGTATACGCTATGGAGCTGGGGGAGGTCAAGTCCAGGGAAGCTTCCAGTGAGGTTTTCATGTGCTGAAGGAGACTCCCGGGCGCCGAGGGCCTGGCTGTGGTCGAGCTGAGGCTGTTTCTCCCTCCAGCAAAGCATCGCCGTGAAGACAGGAGGGAGCCCCCGGACACGTGCTAGTCTCTGCCCGCCCCCAGCGTTTGTCAGCGGGCCGTGGGCTCGAAGGAAATTTCATTTTACCGGTGATTTCCTTCTACCTTTGTTCCCACATCACTGTGGAGGAGAGGGAGTGTCCGGGCTCCAGGAAACTGAGTCTATGGGTTTCTAGGGATTAGACTACTGATACGATTGCCTTTTTCTTGTAATTTAATTTGTGAACTGATGGAGACTCCCATCCTGCGTGACTGTGATCTGTATTCAGGTAGCCAGCTGTTTTCTGTCCTTCCCTTTGTGCTTGGGCAGCCCAGGGTGCCCAGGGAGTGTCACACGTCCCATGGTTGGGGGGGGTATCTGTGCTAGCTTGTACTTGGCCCTCAGCCTGCCTTAAGCTTTTCATCAGTGTGGCAGCAGGTGCTGCAGACTCAGAAATCGGGCTCCTGAAGCATCCAGGTGTAAGGACACAGGTCTAAACGTCTAAACCAAACTGACTCCATGGCAGGCTTTAAGTTTCCCCTCTAAACTAGAAGGCCTGAGTTTCAGCTTCCCGGAAATGATCAGGTAGTTTACACATTGCCCAAGGCAGGAGAAACCACCCTTGCAACACCCAATCAGGGAAGGCCAGCGACCACCCTCCACATTACAAAGGGAGAGGCCTGGAGATAGAAACTATAGATAGGACCCTGTTACCTAATGTTAAAGTTAACCCATTAGTCACGAACAAGACCCTAAGCTCGCTCTGTGATTGGCAGAATTTAAAGGTACTCTAAACGTTGTAACTGGATCCCGCCAAAAGTAACGAACACTCTAGACAATGTGTATGGTCAAACCTGCTGTCTATGATGTTGTATAATTATGATTGGATCACTGTTCCCATGTCACAACTTCTGTAACTCCCCCGTCACAAACCCCATAAAAACCCTACTCTGCCTTTGCTCGGGGCTCTCAGCACGGATCCACTGCGTTGGTAAAGTCTGTGAGCCCAAGCTCGAGCCCGTAATAAAGCCCTTTGCCTTTGCACGCGTGACTCAGTCTCCCCGGTGGTCTCTGGTCAGTGAGGACACTGCGATCTGGGTATAACAGGAGCTGCAGAGGAGGGGCACTTGGGAAGGTGTGACAATAAGCATGAGGCTGAGGCCTTGTTTCCTAAGACAGAGACGCTCGATGGTAAGTGACTGCTCTGCTCCGTCATCAAGTGGCCGTATCAGGAGTTCGATCAAAAGCAGTCGCATTATTCTGTCTTTTCTGTAATGGAGAGAGGGGCAGCGCACTACTGTGAGTGTGTGGGGGGGACTCAGGCTCAGCCCCCCAGGACAGACGCAGGGCTGGGCGGTCCTCGGCCCTCCCCCCGGCTTTCCCGATGGCTTGCTGGCCCCCAATGTCTCTGCTTCTCTCCTGCTCGGACCATTGAGTCTCGTGTCTCGGAAAAGGCAGAGGGTGAAACAGAAACGGATTTTATCTCTGTCTAGACTGGCCAGTGTCCCAAATCACCTTGGTCGCCTCCGGCAACGTCCTTACTAGATGAAGACTAGATAAATGACCCCAGAGAGTCATTGAAAAGATTGCTGTTGTTTCTTTGAGTCATTTTGCAAATACATGGCTCAAGGCTAGGGTCTCAACTTCATTATTTCCTGCCTGGCCAGTGAATTTAAGCAAACTTTGAATTGCATTTATTTTATAGCCTCAGGGAATGGAGGAGACCAGTGGTCTAACAATGTGGAGAAGCCATTATCTTTCCATTATCTTTTCAAATAGGGCGTGTTCAGGATGCTGTAGGTCTGGGCTGTGCCTGCGATTGGAGCCGCCCTGTGGCTGCACAGG